AACTACGACACAAGTCGACACAGTCGAACTTAGCTTTTTAGCTGTGTACGCTTGTGTCAACTTGTGTCGTAGTTGGAAAGCACTGGGTCGTACACTGTGTTACACAGTGTCGCCTGTGTACGTTGCTGGAAAGCACCCCATTTTAGCTGTGTACGCTTGTGTCGACTTGTGTCGACTTGTGTCGTAGTTGGAAAGCACTGGGGTCGTACAATTCGTACACTGTGTTACACAGTGTCGCCTGTGTACATTGCTGGAAAGCACCCTTTATGCCATTAGAAATTGAGTTTGTTGCTGGGCGCAAACGAGTGAAACTGGATTCAATTCCTTCTCGTTTCTGTACGTGCCAGTTGTTGAAAGAGCAGCCATCAAGAAGCAGCAAGCAAATTAAGCCATCAACAGCCTCAAATATTAATAATACGTCCAGTAAAAAGACTTAGGAGGGAAACAACTGTTCTCAACATACCATTTTCTCTGCGTATTTTTTTTTTCATTTCATCCATTTGTTCTGTATCAATTTCTTGAGACTTTGCAGTAGTTTGTATTTCCTCTATGGTTAATGGTTTGGAAGTCTACACACATCCATGCTGATGTTGGACCGATGTTCCCCGTTTCATTTTAAAACAAGTCTTTTTACTGGACGTATTATTAATATTTAAGGTTGTTGATGGCTTAATTTGCTTGCTGCTTCTTGATGGCTGGCTCTTTCAATAACAATTGGCACGTACAGAAACGAGAAGGAATTGAATCCAGTTTCACTCGTTTGCGCCCAGCAACAAACTCAATTTCTAATGGCATAAAGTGTACCTAAAAGAAGACAAATATAAACATACTTTAAGTCGAATAATAAATTATATTGTTACATCTTTTGAAGTGCAAAGTTAGAGCATACTGCACATTACTGCACATTACTTCACAAAGTTTTTGAGAACTGCTAGGTGACCAATTCTTGCCTCTTCCAACCGCAGTAATCCATTTTTCTTTTAATGTATTATCACGTGGATATGTAAATAATGAGTATTCTTCATTGCTTGTGTTGCAACATTTATATGCAGAGCGACTTGATGGCATAGCGAATGTTGTCTGTAATATATACAAATTATCTGACAAAAACGTTTTTATATCGACAAAATTAACAAATCAATTTTTAATATTTATTACAGAAAACAAGAATATTCTCTAAGCCTGCAATAAACATATAGTTTTAACGCTTAAATGTAAATTCCTTAAAATTTATTTTTTGAAATAAATTGTAATTTTTATTATATAGATAGACCTTCTATCGTGTTAAAAATGTTGTGATATAAAAAAATATATTACAATGTTTAGAAATAATTAATTATGACCAACGATCGCTAACCCCACACGTTTTATATCATCAGTTTCTATCACATTAGGGCTACGTTCAGAAATACCCGAGTACCCCAGCGTATCGTTCTATCCTTGTTACTCACCGTATGTTAAACAAGGATAGAATGATATACTGGAGCACTCGGGTGGTATTTCTGAACGCGGCCCTGTTATGCATTGGCGTCGCAATAGAAATCTCTGTACAAGTTCTGCCAGCCAATCGCGGAAGGGCTGGTCACGTGACGAGTTGGCGCCTCTCTCTCCTAGAGGCTCTCTAGGAGAGCCCCCACTCGCGGGGCTCCGCCAATCAGACACCATCGTGTCGACAGGAAGCAGGGCGCACGCATGCCCTGGCGCTGCTGTCGGTAGCGCAGCCAATCGCTGACGAAGTAGCCATTGCGCACGCAGGCTACTTCCGGTATAATCCGCGGTGAAAGTAAGGTATCACCTTACAATAGTATCTCGCGCGTCGCTCCACCTCCCGCTCATCGATCGATTTTCTTAAATGCCTTCCGAGTCCGGCCTGCCGTCTCCTGCATCCTCATTCGCTCAGACGTGTAAATTAATTACTCGATAACTATTGTTACTTTTGTACCGCGGCACATGATATTTCTCCTTAGTTTAACCCATTCTACCACTATTTTCAAGTTGGCTACTTTTGCATCAGATACCCTGTATATACAGGGTGTCGGATTCGATTTGGACGACTCCAAAGATTATAGTAAATTGGGTCAAGCTGAGAAGAAAAGTTATATACCATTTTACAAAATCCGTAATTATTATCGCGTAATTAAGAAAAACGTCTGAGCCAATAAGTGCACGGAGGAGCTGAAGGCCGGACTCGGCAGACATGCAAAATGGTGTATTATTCTCCTACCACTAGAAAAACTTTTTCGGCGCGGTGTCATATGTCGCGCGTTCGCTTGCTGCGCGGCGTTCGCCCGCTCACCGCTCCCCGCTCGCCGACGTCTCTCATCGATCGATGCGTGACTCTACCTCTCGCTTGAGAGATGTCAACAAATACACCATTTCAAGTCCGGCCTTCCGCTCCTCCGTGCATTTATTGGCTCAGACTTTTTTCTTAATTACGCGATAATAATTACGGATTTTGTAAAATGGTATATAACTTTTCTTCTCAGCTTGACCCAATCTACTATAATCTTTGGAGACGTCCAAATCGAATCCGACACCCTGTATTTATTTTCAATTTTGTCTGTATAGCAGAAAAGCTGTTTTTGGCACATAGGCAAGAGCAAATTACAAAGAAGTAATATTGTTTAACTAGAACTGGCTGGAATTCCATTTGTTATATTTTATGTTATTAAATATTACAGAAGAAAAACTACCAGAAACTATCGAATTTCGCCCTTTCTTTCGACAGGAATAAAGCCAGCGACGATATTATTTTCTATTGGATTGCTTAAATTATATTATACTTGCGCCATTAAGAAAAGAATAAAACAGTAAAATCATATGCTAGATTTATTAAATTGAATACTGAAAGCTTCACAAATGTACATACGTCTGATAATATAATACTGTAGAAATTTCTTAAGCACATAGGTAAGCAAACATAAAAAGTCAGTACATTTAACGAATTTCGATTTAGCACTCAATGCACGTAAAAATATCTTAAATGTTTGCGCTACAAGACCTTTGCGTGAGTGAGTGGGCATGTGTTATTTTATTCATGCAGAGCAGAATCGTCAAACCAAAATTGATGATGCTTGTCAGTGAGTCGCTTGTAGAGTTATTCAGAATCCGCAACATTAGTAATTGAATTTCGTCTATTTCGTAATGTTTGGCAACGTTGCGTTGAGATGCAGCGTAAAATCTTGTGGAACCGCACATGTTAGTATTACACGTTGGGAATGCATTTCCTTATGGAATGCAAAATCTGGCCATTTCTGCACTTCGTGCCCATTGTGACTTTTGATCAGCATGATAAGAACTAACTTTTCTGAAAGTTTCAGACGATTCGACCGAAATTCAATTTCCATAAGGTGTGTGCGGGGTCCTTTCTTGATTTGAGACCATTGTAATTTGTGATACTATTTTATAGATATTTTTACAAAGAAATAAATCATGTTTCAATGAAGATATAAAAATTTCTACAAATTTCTATTTCAAGTCAATTTTTTTGTAGTTATTTATAGAAATTTTTTCCGCTAAGGTCGCCGCTTTACAATTCAGATGCAGATTCGATATTTTTTATTTCTATTGCAAGGGAGTAACTGCAAAGTAACGATTCGTTACTTTTCGAGTAACTGTATAACTGTATAAAAGTATACGGTGGAAAAATAATTAATTAATTACAAACAAACGAATGACTCACAAACCTTTCTAATTGCACTACAAACGTCTACATACGAAATATAAACGATTGCATGTAGGAGTTATTTAAAAATACGTTCAGTCGGTGTCAAGTATGAGCGAATCTGGGACGTACGTTGCCCCAGCCGATTTCTGACAACATGAACACAAGGCTTAAGGGGCAGTGGCACTCAACCAATAGGCCTTGAAATTTACAAAGTCTGTTGGTTGAGTGCCACTTCTCAGAGGTTCTATTAGCAGAGAGAAACCTGAGAGCGGCCATCCCTTTGTGTTTAGTTGGGACCGATTTTCGCCACCAGTTGTGGATGTAAGAACTACGGAGTCACATCTATTTATCGACACGGTCGATAAATATCACTTTTTGGTGCGTGTCCGTGCTAAATTCGCTTTTCGATATTGTAAATAAATCACTTTTTGGTCCGTGTCCGTGCTACATCCACTTTCCGACACTGTCAATAAATCGCTTTTTGCCGTATGTCTATGCTATATCCACAATTTATGGATGTTAAGACAATGTTGAAAAGTGGATGTAGCACGGACACGCACCAAAAAGTGATATTTATCGACCGTGTCGATAAATAGATGTGACTCCGTAGTTCTT